CTACGTTTAAATAGGTTGACTTGGGACATTTTTTTCGTGGTTTTTGTCCCGTCGTCCATTTATTAGTAAGTCAATGCTAGGAAAGCATATTATTATAAAGTCAACGATTACTTAAATGACAAGAACATAGAATAATAGTTAACTATCACAAAATAATGACATTAATGTTAGTAAGAGTTTAAATTAAAATTAAGATTTGACATTTCGTAATTAAAATTTTGTAACATACTGTTAAATTAATTTAATTAAGCAATTTGTATGCCGTAAAATTGGCAATACGTACTGACACAACAATGTTAAATAAGATCTTGTAGAAGTGCGTACACAATAAATTATTTGACTTAATTTGAAAAAAGTCAGGTGATATAGTTCGGCAAAGAGTATAGTTTGTGTATCATAAAAAACGAGTAATTGTACACAATCATGTCCTTATTCAGTTTCAAAAAAATGCCACACTTCAGCCAAACTTGTCGTAGGTGCAGTCGAAATACATGCCCAACGTGCATACATCATGTGTCTCACCTGACCAACCTGAATCGTGAAGGTAAAATCGGTCACTTGGGTCATTCACCTCACTACAATATCTACATAGCTCCATTCTAAGTAGCGTATGTAGTACGTACTACAGTCATAAACGTCAACGGCATTTTTAAATTGACCTCTGACTTTTGTCAATTGAACGGACAGTGTAGCAGCTATTAAAGTGTCGATATTAATTTCGATTAACGGAACGTTTTCGATTGAGCGATCCAATTAAGGTATGATAGTGTAAAATAATTTAGCATGAATTACGTTCTGAAACAAATGAAAACCAGATATGATAAATATTTCAGCGACTTAGTTTTCTACTTTATCTGAGCGTGGTAAACTGGTAACCCTAGCTGAAGAAAGAAGAAACACTGCCAATCTTCAAAGAAGAAACACTGCCAATCTACAAACACCCGACAAGAATAGTTTGAGACGCCGATCTGTTTTCAGAAGAATTAGTTACATACTAACAAGACCAAATAGATAAACTGTGCATATTTATCAGAAGTCTAGGAGCTTTTACTTTTGCCCACCGCACAAGCGAAGTTGACTACATCAAGCGACTTTTGATCAATCTTGCGCTATCCTTAAAAGGTACAGAAAATGGTCAATGCCATCTAGCGGAATAACCGAAGTAACGTCTCAAGGACATTCCATGTCCAAATAATCCACCCAACAAGACCACAAAAACGAAAGGAAATCTGTATTTTTAAATTACTATGTAAATACATACATACGGAAATGCAAATCTGACATTGTGAAAACTGAGCAATTGCAATATAGCAATTTATCGCAATGCGGCAGATATTTTAGATAACAATCGTATAATTGTCGGATACGCTAGTTTTAAAAAATAAGAATCTTTTTTATTGAATTTCGGTTTTATAAAGTAGAAGCATATTTTTAATGAACGCGTTCTAGAAAAAATTAGCATGTGTGATAAAGCATTTGCGTTGTTTGCTTATTCGACAAATAGAGCAAACACCAAACAAGCGTTACCACGCGCTGGTCCGTGTCTTGACGCACATCAAAGGAGTGAAATAGGCAAATACGCAATTAAACCGTCCACACTATGGTCACATTAAATATTTATATCCTTATTTGGCTTAATGTGCCATATATGTTAGTGTCTGCATGTTTATCGCTAAATATTTTTCAAATACAACAAATACCCAATAGTGAAAACAAATAACCATGTGAAGTGCTAAATATTACGGACTTTTGACTTGGCAAATAACGCAGAATGTAACTACATATAACCCGTTTACTTCAGTAGCGAACTACAAACGGCTTTAACGGGTTCTATATGAGAAGTAAAAAATCGTAAGAGTCATATATAACAATATAGATAATAAAAAAATAAGAAGATAAACCAGAAAAATAAGAAAGTATCCGAAGAAAAAATATAACATGATGAATCAGGATAGGAACACTTTTGTTGTTGAAAGGATGGAATAAGTGTTTACTCAAGAAATACAACACAAAAACAAGAAACTGGATATAAATAAGAAAAATAATAATAGTAAGAAGAAAAATGTTCAGAACACTTTTGTCATTGAAAAATAAAGTAGTATTTTCTAGGTATCACGGAGAAGACACAGACAACATAAAACTAAAAAGATATGAAGAATACAACCAAAGTAACAAAACACGGCATGATTTAGATACTATACTACTTAAATAAATAATCATATTTCAATCGCATCCGTACGCAGCTGACGACGACGTCACATCGGCGGCGCTGACACTCGAACGGCCCCGTTAACGTTGTCAGACACGAGTTCATAGTAGAGAAGATATATGCACAGCCAAGGAGCATAATTAAGGTGATGCTGTACTTTTATTTTGTGTATTAAGTTTCATATTTCAAACAAAAACATTTAAATGTTATTAAAAAATGGAAGATTTGTTTTGTGCATATTAGACTCGAAATAGACGTTTTCCCTTGAAAGAGTCTGATTAAGTAATTCAGGGTCGTGATTAAGTTTCATATCATTGATTGGAGTTAGATACTGGTTCTTACAAAGTAATTTATTTAAAATGGTTAATTCTTTAGTATGATTATTGTAATTTAATTTTATTTAGCGGCTATATAAAATGGTCTCGAGATACGCCACTATTGCATTTAATTACCTCCTATCCTTAATCCTATCCTTTATATCCTTATCTTTTATTTAACTGGAATCCTTTTTTAGGTTTCCTTTTTTAACCGGCTTCAAAAAAAGAAGGAGGTTCTCAATTCGACTTTTTTTTGTATGTATGTTATGCGACAATTCGTGAACCGATTTTGATGATTATTTTTTTGTTGGAAAGAGGGTACGTTCCTCAGTAGTGGTCCAATTTAAATTTGAAGAAACTATTTCTACTAATAATACACCTCTAAGGGTAACTAGAGGATGATAGATCATTTTCCGGTAACCGATGTCAATACAACTTGGTAAATAGATGTAATTCTGAACTTTTGGGGTTGGTTTTTTAGTACTCCGTACTGAGATTATTTTGTGATAAACATGTCTATGATATAGCAACTTTCATTCTGCAGAAAACTGTTTTGAATCCATAGACAAACAAAAAAGGGCGTCCAGTAGCACATTAACTGTCTACATGGCCAAACGGTTACTATGATGGACTGCCACGCGCAATACGCAACCTCTGCGTATTCGATTCCCGGACCGGGGGAAATATTTGTATGGCTTACATTTACTTCTCTTGTCATTATCATTATTAATGATAATAATTTAATAATGTGCCAGACAACCACACCGGGTAATACCCGGTCTCAAACTGGCACTTTCCCATATTTTGAATACCAGAGCAACAAAATCAAGTCCGGGGCACTACCCGGAATACCCAGACTAGAACAAATTCAGAAAAGTTCATTTCCCAGATTGGTCCTAACCGGATCCTCAACATCACAGTGCAAACAGTTGGGCCACTTCTTATCTTATCGATGGAATCATACCTACACTAACACCCTTGCCATTATGGTCAAAAGATTTGTCAATCGGCGTAAAGTACTCGCCAATAGTTGCTCAGGGTCTGCCAGACATAGAGGAAAGGAATGGTACGTTACGTACATTAATGGTACGTTAATTTCTGGCTGCTTTCAGTACATATATCATGTTTTTCAAGGTACTTCGTAAAATTTTCGAAAACGATAATTCTACGTTTAGTATTTTAAATTTTAATTGAATTGATATTCAATTATCTTTTGTGAAATTACTCCACTAATTTCTTATAATTATTAATACAAAGATGATTCAGAAAAAATCCTTCGATCCGGCCGGATTCGAACCGACGTCTTCTAGCATACCGTGGCAGACGCTATACCAACTAATCTACGTTCTGTGTTTTACAGTAATACAGAAAATATACATACCTGTTTAACAGCTCCATCAACGTAATCCTCACATACGTTCTTAGAGAAGAATGTTTCAACTGGGAACGTCCTTCCTGGGATGGTGAAGGTGGGTACGTTGCCGAAGAAGGTGGAGAACTTGGTCGAGTCCATTGTCGCTGACGTCACGATTAACTTCAGGTCTGAGCGACGTGCTACTACCTGAGAACAAGAACAATTTTATAAAGATAATGGAAGAGCGATATTCACAGTGATCTACATTTTACAGACAGAAAATTAACTTCTAAGTTGCGGTGATTCAAGTTTCAACCTTGAAGCTGTGTCACTAATTCGTCTTATTTTATTATTCAGTCTGTACACTTTGTAATATCACAAAAGTACTAAAATGTAATAATAAAGAATTTCATTAGAACGTCGTCGCAGTAAATTTTCAATATTAAGTTTTAATAGAATAAATTATAACTTCAACTTCCTTTTGTCGTTAAAACTGACAAGTGAAGGTTATTTGAACAAGTAGGCTAAAGAAAAAACAAGTGAAAATTATGAGATAGAAACGTAGTAAGTAAAATACAGTGATTCATGCGCCTAGATATGTTTTAAAAGAGTTAGCTATTGTGTTTTATATTGTCACAACGGAACTTGTTTACGCGTGCGTAAATTCAGCAAAGTTCGCTAGATCTATTCTTACTTTAATTGCAACCGTTCTTGAGTACTAACGGTAGAGAGATTCCTAAGTCATATATTTGTGGAAATACAGGTTGTGCAAAAGTTGACAAAAACAAAGTAAAATTTTACTATGAAAACATTAGGTACACCCAATTGTGGTAAATAGAAGTTTATAAATAAATATAGTCATTAATTAACATTTGAATATACACAGTGGAATCGTCGGTGAAGAGACCATCTTTGCTCTAGCAAGTCACTAATATAGAGAATGAATAATGGTGGCCCTCGAATACAGCCCTGTGGTACATCAGGTTCCATAAATTCTTATATTTGATTTTACTTCTTTCTCAGTGTGTTTGTCTATGTACGCAACATGCACTTCCTGTTGGCGATTTTGTATATAAGAGTTTATTATATAGTAGACGTGCAGTCTCCTATCGTACTCGATTTCGTTAAGAAGTAATTTATGTCACATGAAATCTAAAGCTTTCATCATGTCCATGAAAATAGTCGAGACTGCAGTCATTACATTACTCATATTTCCTGTTACGGTTGTTAATAGGTCAATTATAGCGAGAACGTTGATTTTTTAAATGGTGTCTTTCAGGTTTTTCTAAGAATCCATAATCAATAATTCATTTGCTCCAATATTTTTCGTACAACTGGTAAAGTAAAGTACAGAACGGCAGATTTTCCATATCTGGAGAGGATTATGACTTGCAGTGTAGTATTACAAACTAATAATTGATGCAATATTGACTTTCTCTCAACGATATTACTCAACAAATTAGCTAAAAAATTTCTCTGCGGGAAAATAAAATTACGAGTATAAATCTGTAAAATCATCCCAGTAAACGAGCGTAATAACGACATGACATGCCGAGATCTAATTTTATGATTGATCGAGCTTCAATTATTGTTAGTGAAATAACTGTAAATGACACGTTCAAACAGGTTCATAGTTGTGTCGTTTCATAGTACATACATCGGCACATTTAGCTGAACACTAAATAAATTCTCAAAATAATGCAGTCTTTTTTCGAATGTCTGGTTAATTATCTTCTTTTTTATTTTAGGTTTAATTTTAAAATAAGTGATTAGTCCATAGTGCTTTTTTCATTTGTTTTTTCCTGCTAATGAAAAAGGTCAATTAGTTCGAGATTGATTTTGCGTTCTTGTACATTTCGTAAACAAAGCTATTTATCAAAACTTTTGTCCGTTTCTGTTTTGTTACAAAATCTAAAAAAAATATTCAATAAAGGTATATGAGTAAAGTTGTGTTAACGAGCGAGGGAAGAATTACAATAAGTCACATAAATTCATTGACTTACAATTATATGGACGTCGGGTCCGCGCTAAAAAGTGTCCGCACTTGTAAGGCGCTAAAATGGTATACAGAGCGCGACACTCCGCTTTAGTCTTCATTTGTTCTACTGACAGCGCGATACTGCGATGACATTATAATTTAAATTTCGAATAGGTTGACTTGGGACATTTTTTTCGTGGTTTTTGTATTAGACCCGTCGTCCATTTATTTGTAAGTCAATGCATAAATTGGTAAAAAATAGAATGCTCTGGCGGCCCGCTGACAACGACTGACAAAGGTTTAAATTATTCGTCGCTGTCAGTGAGGCACTGCACCAGCCAATTGCCAACAGTTGTACAAATCGATGTTAAAAGATACTAAATTCAATGCTACTTATATTATGTCCAATTCTTATATTTATTTAAACATATATGTTAGTATTTTATAATGTCACTTTATTTTTCTTCCTATAACTGTGCTGGAGTGTGTTGTACGTCTAATGATATATTACATGCGTTAAAAAGTGTTGCTATATTCATAAGTATATTATTATACAAAACAAGCTTTACAGCAAGAAAACATTTTGTTGTCTGAAATACAATGATAGCTTCGATTTTACTGTTTAATTCTTCATAATAAAAGACTTCAATGACGTCAAACAATGTTGGACATTGTTACTCCGCAAATAGCAGTTTTTATTTATTTTTTTACGATTTTCTGCTCTGTCCACCCGACCGTGAAATTGATTTGACTTTTTTTAACAATGCGTTATTTTTGTATTGTCAATAGTAACATTTATCGGTGGTTTATTTTTTGTTTACTATTACAGGCTTTTATTAAGGTTAATTTGTTAGTTCATTAGATTTTATATTTCATACTGGATACTTAATATTAAGCAAATTGAAATAAAATAATTGCAGGGGATTGAATGCCGTCTATCCACCAGCAGGGGGTCTAAATTTGGGAGGGTAATTCGTTTTACATTTTTTTTGTGACCAAGCGACGGGACGCCCGTCTACCCATAACAGTTGCAGTGCTATTGAGAACTTGAAATCGCAGAAATCTGATAGGCACTGCCACTGCTGCCCTGAGACATAAGTGGACAAGTCTTATATGCCTGTAATTTCACCAGCACCAAAACTGTCTGGCGGCAGAAACTGGGAAGGCAGTTGCAATACTTCCCTGCACGAACTAATACATAAGGAACTGTACTAAATTTCAGTAAGCATGTAGCTAGCTGTCAGAACCATTGAAATGTTAACATTATTATGAAAAATAGATTCAATTTCAGAAGACAGTCTGGAGTTCAAATAAGGCAACCAATATTACGTATGTTGCCGGTTTAACCCATGTAATTTTTTGTATATAGAAAATTATAGATTCGATTATGTTTTTCGTCTTAGCTTGTCGTATTCAGCCAATTAATTATTCTAAGCCCAGATATCCGGTTGAGTAGCAGAGAATGCCTAATGGCATTTAGTGCGCCATATGTGCTGTTTCGTGTGCAGTAAAGTTTAAATAAAAATAAATAAATAAAAAATAAATTATAGATGAAAGTTGAGTTAATTGAATAAATGACTAAGGGTCGTATTCCAGAACTCTACTCAATGCTCAAGTCAGCACTGAAAATCTTACTCAAGTCCTTGCCATTAGGGTCGTATTTCCAGTGCTTGAAATCATACTCAAGTCTGCTCAAGTCCTGACTTGAGCTTTGAGTAGAGTTCTGGAGTATTCTAATGTATGGTCCTAAGAAATTTTATTATTGTTTTGGTAACTTTTTAGTAGCAGTAGAGCTCCTTGTGAAAGAGTTCGTCCAGGTAAGTACTGCCACCTCATCTATATCAGCCGCCTAGCGTTAAAGTGCGCATTATTGTGTTTTGACGGGTACACTGCCCAAGATAAACCCTTTCACAGGGACTGCTACAACAAACTATTGTCGTTTTAGCTTTTCTCCCATGACCATTTTGCATGGAAATATTTGTATCCGTCTATGTTAGTGTTCTACAGATCAAGTTTAAGATTATTTCAAAGAGATATCATAAAAACTTATCCGACGAATAATTTAAAATATAGATTTTGTTCTTATTAGTCTAGAGAGTTCAGTTGCAGTCTAGACGTTATTATACGCGCGGTAGATTTGTAGATTGGATTTCATCTAGAATTATGTCTGGATGTGTAAGTATATACGATTTAGTATGTACGAGGGGCGGCTCTCTTTTGACTATTTATAATTCAAAATTAGTGAGTGTTTGTTTAATACGTTTCGCTTTGCATAAACAAAATGGCGGACGGAAAAAGTAAAATGTTTAAAAATGAGCAACTTTTTTAATAGACTATTATAATAGTGTATTTACTTCCTATAGCTTGTGTATTTCATATAGCTTTTTAAGAAAGTGTATAAAGATCAATACATTTTCTATGTAGGTACGTTCTATATACATATTTTGAAAAAAAAGTAGCCATGGTCATCTTTTATTTCATGCATCTACCTAAGTAGATTACTTTTCAGCCGCCACTCGTATGTGTATTTTGTGTTAGAGAAATACGAATTTGGGAAGGATACATCTTTGTTTTTTATAAAATATCATATGACGCGATGAACATGTGCGCTAGTCGTAAGCGACACTTATACTCATGCCATTGGATTATCTATCTACTTGCATTGATTATCGATTGCCACTTTATTCTTCTCACTACGCACTCATAGTCTTTTAAGAACACTCTCAATTTGATCTGATACTTCGTGGCCATAACACCTGCAGCTGTAATGACTCATGGGTCATAACAGTTGCCCTGTGTGCGTCACATTGAGACAAAGTTACAAGTCCCATGTGCCTGTAGCTTCACCAGCATTCTTGCTCTTCAAAACCAATCACCAATCCAAACAAAACCAATCCAACCAACACAGTAATCCTCGCTTTCTCAATTTTGTTCTATATATTGTGCATATTGTGACCTTTCTAGACGCCGGCTTGTTATGTATAGGTGGCTTAAAGATTGGTGTTCGTTTGTTCAGCTGAATGAACCAACTAACCTGACTGTGTCCTTATTGTTAACTTAGACCGGACTGGTCAAAGAAAGATAACCTCGACCTGGACACTCTGTTGTTTCTCCACTATATCTTATCATAAAAAAGCCTTGCAGATAAAATTTTGGATATGTAAATTTATTTAAGCCATAATGACACACTAAGCGCAAACGCGCTAACTGCAACCGATTCGTATTGTTT